AGTGAGCAGAGGCCGGGGGATAAAGTGAGGAACGGCCGGCGGGCTGAGTGAGCAGAGGCGGCAAAGGAGCGTCCAGTGGGCTTGCAGCAACCACATCTGACGACCCGTGGCTGGACTCCGCTTCGTCCACGGTGAAAGCCGATCCGGCGATCCACAGCGCAAAGTTGTAGTATTTCCTCAGCAACCAGCACGGATCAGCTCCAGGCATGACGAAGCAGATATCGTCCTCTTTTGGAAGACCAAACAAAGTAGTTTCGCTATTCTATTCAGGTGTAGGTGTGGTTGACTCTGAACTTTTATAAAGAATATCTCTTTGGATTTGAGACTTTAGTCTTTGCAACTTTACAGATCTTCTTTATGCACCAAGAGCTTGTAACACTCCAAAGAGAAAGGAAAAATTGAAATCGCATCATATGACCCCTTTAAAGAAAACAAAGTATAATAGTGTCATAGTAATAATTATAATAGTTTTAGTTTTAAGTTTAGATGACTGTACTGAACATTTGTTTCATTTTTCTACTTTTTCATCTAATCTTTATATTCCATTTCATTTTTATTTCAGTTACTGAAAACAATCTTAATAGTTTTAGTTAATGATACTAATGTTAGGAGCCACAGGATAAGAAATACTTCTACATCTAATCTTTTCCCAATAGTTCAGTTTAAATGACTGAATAACTTAACATATGCCAAATAAATGCATATTAATTTATGTTGTGCCTTTTCAGAAACGTCATCACGCCAGATCTGGGTCAGCACCGGCGCTGCCACATGCTTGCGTCATGGTACTGTCATGTTTTTTCATAAAAAATATCTTAAATTGTGTTCCGAAGATGAAAGAAGGTATTACGGGTTTGAAACAACATGACGGTGAGTAATTAATGACAGAATTTTTGGGTGAACTATCCCTTTATTCATATGGCCAATGGGATCCTCTCACTGCTGTTACCAACCTTATAAAGGCAGAGGTCAATGACCTGTGAGCAGATCTCCCTCAGATCATCACAGACCTGCAGACGGTTGCGCACAAATGCACAAAGCTCCTCATTCCCGATGGCGTCCCAGACGCCATCACACGCCACCACCAGGAACTCATCTTCTGGGCTTCGCTCTAGCTCGTACACCTCCGGTTCAGGAGACACCAGCTGTTCGGTCTGAGTCCTCCATTCCACCTCCTTAAAGTCGAAGTCACCAAGGGCGCGGGACACGGCCAGCGAGCCGTTGATGCGCTGCAGAGTGACGGAGCCGCCAGCATTCTGGATACGCTCTTTCTCACGTGGGTTGATAGGTTTGTGGTCCTCTGTGTGGAAGACCACCTGGCCGTCGCGGCAAAGGAAGGTCCGTGAATCGCCGCAGTTGATGAAGTAGATGTTTCGTGGAGACATCATGACAGCGGTTGCTGTCGACCCGCTGTGGTCCCAGGTTTCGTTGTGGGCCAGGGTGTGCATGTGGCGGTCTATGTTGAGGAAGCCATCTCTGATGCCGTCTTTGACCTGGTCTACATCCTCATCCACCGTCACACAGCCTGATCAGACAATCATATAACAGGGTCAAGCACAGTGACATGAGGCCTGCTCAGTAACCAACCTACTTGAGGAACGCTTGTTATTTCCATTACTTCCGATTAATACATTACATCAGAAGTTTTTTTATTTTTTTGGTATGTTGTATATAGAAAGGCTCATTTATACGGTGAAAGACGCAGTATACATTTATTTACACTGTGAAAAATAGTTCTAAATGTGTGTAAAATATAATATGAAATCTTATTGTTCAATAGAACAAAAGTATTTAAAAATGAAGGGCTTAGAAAGCTGAATGAATAACTTATTTATTATTATCATTATTAATTTATTTTTACAGTTTTTACACTCTTTCTTTGACCTTTTGTTCCATGGACCCCAGTTTGTGATTCATTATATTGGACTTGTCTTGGACAAATTCTGCATTTTGAGATGATAACCACTGTTGTAACACTTTTTAAAATTGATTTAAAAGCTTAAATGTAAATGTTTTAATACTTAAGAACAAAGATCAAGTTGTAATGGAATTACATTATTATTAAATTATTGATATGATTAGCATTGAAAAAAATCTTAGTAGATCGCTAGTCCCTTCAGAAGAAATGGTATGTTGCGCTTTTCTCCCATTTTCTTCCAAATTTCCTCCAGATTTTAAATAAAAATGTTGTCATTTAGAACATACATTTACATTTGGTCAAAATGACAAAAAAGATTACTCATTTTTAGACAACACAATACCACTTTTTTAACTTCAGAAGAGTTAAGAAATCAATATTTTGTGGAATAACCCTGCTTTTCAATCACAACAAATGAAAACACAAGCAAACTCTAAATGATCATATTTTTATTTGGAATTTGGAAGAAATGTTATCAGACCTTTATAGAATAAAACAAATATTAACATTTTACTCAAACTAAACCCTACTAAATCTAGAGAAACTGAGAATGTCCAAGTGGCCTCTTAATATTTTTTTTTTCGTATGTGTATATAAAGTTTTTATTTATTTATTTGTTTTACTGTTATTATTATTATTATTATTATTATTATTTAGCTAGTGTAGTGGTATGGAAAGCATCACTGTTATTAGTCATCTTTAATAAAAATATATATATATTTTGTCTTACTGCACTGTATAAGGGGGTAACAACGCCCCAGCTGTTATAAAATCACTGTAAACCACGGCTTCTTAGGGCTTATTGCTTTAATAAATATACACGTATGCATGCATATATTTAGAAAAATATGTAATGTTTATATATTAAATATATAATATAAATTATATGAATATAAATATAAATATATTCATACATGTAAATATTTTCTAAATAGATACTGTATATGTGTGTCTTCAAATATACACAGTACACACACATATATGTACACTCAAACCTTTATTTTGGATGCAATTAATCGCGATTAATCGTTGTCCAGCAATAGTTTTTATCATTTTGTTCTTCCAACTGCCTAATCGCCAGTAAGAACCAAATGTTGTCACACAAACTCCTAATTCACTGCTAAGTAAACATTGTGTTTCACTACTATGCTTTTTTTGAAAGAGTAAAATGGTAGTCTGAATTGTTAAATAGCCAGTTAGCATGTCTCTTAAGGTAACTGTCTTTATGAATAGTAGGAATTGTCCTCCTTAGGAAGGCCCAGTTCTTGGAAGGCTTGCAGATTACCTGTATTTAAGCAACGTAGGTGTGTGACGTTTGGATTTGAGCCATTTATACACAATGGGTGATTAAAGTTAGCGAGGGCATTTCACGACCCTGACATTCAAAACCAGCGTAACTACGATTACATAACAGACACACTGACTTGTTCAGAGATTCCCTTTTTTTTGTGTTTGTAGGCTATGTTACCCTTACACTTTTTATATAATAATGTTTACTTGACTGTAAGCTACAATTTCACAATTACATGAATAAAGTATTAAAAAAAGGTACAAAATCTGTCACTGGGGCAGTACCTTTTCAAAAGGTAAACCTTTGTACCTGTAAAGACTCTATATTGGTACCTTATCTAAAGTGTAAATGTGCAAAAGTGTACCTTTTGAAAAAGTACCACTCCAGTGAAAGCTGTAGCGTCTGGACCACTCAAACACACAATACATATTTTGTTAGCTAGATTTAACAAATACTCTGTAACACCCCAGGAAGCTGAACAGGCCCCTGGTTCCATGGTAACCCTGACACCCGATACATTTACGACCTCCTGGAATTTAGGTGAAGAAAATCGCTTCCTTGCCCATAGGGAAAATCCACAAGGGAAGGACTTTTCTTTGCTAATTAATTAATAGGAAAACCTTTCTTTGAATGAACACACATGATCCTTCAGGTCATTGGGTATATTATTGTCATCGTGTATTTTGTCTTTGAAATTGTATACTGTTATGCAGGCTTATAATCGAAACACACTCCTGTTAGCTTACATATATATAACTCTACCATGTTTAGTATCTATGAATTCGTATTCGGATGATCTAATTGAGAGTGTATATCGTATGTTTACACCTACGCAACATATTAGTGTTCTAAGAGTCTTTAATAATTGTTATACAAGTTTCATATGCAAATTACCATGCTTTCAAACAAAGGGCCATAAAAATGCCCCAGTATCTCAGAACTCCCACTTGAGATTCCGGACTTCCTCATTGGACAAGCCCATCTTGAGAGGCGTGAATCTTTGCAGGCTTTAAAGGCCGCACTTCACGTGACCCGCCCGGTCGGTGGTTCTGTTAGGTTTCGATAAAACGCTCCCGGAAACGCTAAGCTCGTGCCAGGCTTCGGCCTTGTCTGTTCCATTCATCAAGTTACTCTGACACAAACTGGTTCTTTTCATCGAATGCTTACCGAAGAGATAAAGAACATAATCACATACTATCTTTTTATATTTAAAATAGTGTCAAATGATTTTTTTGATATTTACAATGAATTACTCAGCTGTTTTTGCTTTATTGTCAAGACATATTTGAAAGTCTTGACTACATTGAAAGCTATTAAATCATTATTCGCCAGAAAAAGACACACCGAGCACACATTGTATGAGAAAGGCAAATTGTTGCACTATACAGGGTAACTTCAATTACATTTTCAGCTAAATTTAAACCATAAAACAATTAAAACAACAAAAAAGTTTGCCTGATGCAACCTATGTCAGTGTGTTTTATGATTTTTTTTATTGGGTTCACTTTTTGATAAAATTCAGAAAACAAAATTCTATTTAAGTTTTGGGGCTTGAAACCAACATACAAAGCCACTACTAAAGAAAACACACAGTTGTGTAATTGGAGCATGTGACAACTAGCCCTAGTCTCCACAGCTATGAAAAATGAATTATTGCTGCTTTAAAATAAACCTTTATTTTTAAATATTTAAATAAATTTTTTAATAATATCGTTATTACATAATACTAAATAACATTGAAATTATTGAAAACAAAAATATATAAAAAAACTATAGCGATACACATTATATCAAAATATATATGTCTTTAATTGTAGTTTGATTTGTATTAATTTGTCTGTATGTGAACCTGTGTGTGCTGCTGCACTCGTTCTACATCGTGATGTACAGTAGCTGATAGACCACGTGAGCATTTCTCATTTGCTAGAGTACCTCACAACCCATGAGGCTTTGGCTCTGCTGAAGGCAGTGGACACAAACAAAAGCCTCATTAGACTTTTAAATTAAGCCTTATAGAGAGACAGACATTTTACACACACACACACACACACACACACACACACACACACATGAGACATAAAAGTCTATGTTGCTGAATTTATACTCCACAGAACAGCACTATAATACTATAATTTTAATCAGCATTTCCAATTTGCATAGCCATAATTTCATATTCATTATGTTAATTTATGTAGCTTATTTTGTGCAATAAATTTTTACGCTATTTTTTGTATTAAAAAAAAAATCCTAATTAAATTATTTCAAATGTATTATTAAAAAAAAAAGAATAATTCACCAGTGCAACTAGTATAATATACACAGTGAATGGCAGTGAATGGGTGCCGTCATAATTTCTTACAAACATGCATCTTTTCACTTCACAAGACGTTAATGGATGGATTAAAGTTATGTGGATAACTTGTGAATTATTGTGATGTTTTTATCAGCTGTTTGGACTCTCATTCTGACGGCACCCATTCACTGTAGAGGATCTGTTGATGAGCAAGTGATGTAATGCTACATTTCTCCAAATCTGTTCTGATGAAGAAACAACAAATCATCTACATCTTGGATGACCTGAGAGTTAGTCAATTTTCAGCAATTTTGTATTCTTTTTGTGTGAACTATTCCTTTAACATATTTTATGCCGTGTAGAATTAGTTTCATATAAACTTTACAAGCTGAATTTTTATACGCATCTGTATTGAACAGATCATGATGAAAATAGACACATCGCTGGACAATTTCCACATTTTACTTAAAATTGCTGCAGAATTCTTGCTGTGTTCTTTGCTGACCAGTTAATGGAAATATATTAGGAATAATAATAATAATAAACACTAGGACAGTAAAATTTCAAGTGATTCCCTTAATTTGAGGATCATTTATTGCTCTCTCACTTCAGAGGAATTCGGAACAGTGAGCTCAACACCTGACTCCACGCCTCCCTGCTCAGATGGTAATATTTTCATATACAGTATATTTACACACATTCAAATATATGAGTGCTTCAGTTATATTTGCATGTTTTCCTGATATCCACATCTGTTATAGCCCCTTAAAGGGATAGTTCACCCAAAATGAAAATTACCCCATGATTTACTCACCCTCAAGCCAACCTATGTGTATATGACTTTATTTTTTCAGATGAATATAATCATAGTTATATAAAAAAATGCCCATGCTCTTCCAAGCTTTATAATGGCAGTGAATGGGTGTTGATATTTTGAAGTCCAATAAAGTGCGTCCATCCATCATAAAAAGTTTTCCACATGGCTCTGGGGGGTTAGTAAAGGCCTCCTGAAGCGAATCGATGCATTTGTGCAAGGAAAATAACCATATTTCCAACCTTATAAACCGTAATGTCTAGCTTCCGCTAACTGCTGTACAAGTGTTCACGAGAGAGTGGCGTTCCAGTGGATGACGTAGGCATAGCGTAAGCTCCGGTGAGAATATGCTAGTCACGTGAGAACTAAGTTTTGTTTACATGCAAAGGAAAACCAGTCTCCTCTTGGCTTATATCAAAATCCTCTGACATTTTTCTTTACAAATTGCACTTTTTATGATGGATGGATGCACTTCTTTGGATTTCAAAATCTCAACACCCATTCACTGCCATTATAAAGCTTGGAAGAGCCAGGACATTTTTAAAAATAACTCAGATTGTGTTCATCTGAAAGATGAAAGTCATGTACACCTAGGATGATGGCTTGAGGGTGAGTAAATCATGGGGTAATTTTCATTTATGGGTGAACTGTCCCTTAAAGAGCCATCATCTGCATAGCCCTAATCATAAAAGATTTTTCCTTAGGTGGAAATGAGGAGTCCGACTTCCCAGAACTGCAGACGGCCAGGGAATGGTCTGACGACGATGAAGGCCTGGAGGATGATGACGCATGTCTCAGCAGCTCTTCCGTGTGGGGCACACCACGTCAGAACTCCTTTGAGCTCACCTTCTCCTACATTGCCTTCTCCGAGAGCGACGGCTCATCGCGGAGAGACTCGGGGCGCCGCAGGACTGGCGGGAGGGGCGGCCGCGGTTCACTGCTCCGCATGGACACTCTGGAGACCCAGGGACCTCCGGACTCCCCTGCTGTGGATTGGGACCCTCATGCCTTCTTGACTGTAGAAGGGGAGGGAGACACGGAGGAGGAGAGCCTGCAGTGGACTCTAGATCCACAGACTCACAGGGTGGAGGAGTTTCAGGATAAAGACACAAGGACATGGGAAGCAACGGAGGAGATCTCAGGCATCCAAACATACAACTTAACATGCAGTCATCAAGATGAGCAAATAACAGGTGCTTATGCATACAAAATGTAAACAAATGTGTGTGTTCGCATGTGTGCATGATGCATTTTAAAATAGCTAGGTTCAAAGCAGACACTGACTTGAATTAAAGGGACCTGATCTGGCCAGAAAATCGTAGAGACTTTAGTCTTTGGCCAGTAAGAAACCACCCAGAAAACCTAAATGAAAAGCATAGCAATGCACTAAAATACCTGAACAACCACATAGGAAGTCTGTAGTAACTACTAACAACACCCTGAATGATGGAATCTAAAGCAGGCTTTCTGATTTGGCAAGTATACATATTTTTTTTAAATGTTGATTATTAATCTATTGATTGTATATGTAGAATTATTTATTTTAAAATAAAATGTTATTGTTAATTATTTATTAATACAAATTTTACATAATTAATAAAATTGCATCTTTAAATAATGTGTGTTTATGTGTGTCAATATACACAAAATAAATAAATCACAAACTGTAAATGTAAATTTTTTGTTTTAATTAATAAATAATTACTAATAAAATTGTATTTTATTTTAAAATAAAAATGACAAATTACAAAAGAATGTGTATATAAGTATTTTACTTTTTAATACTTTTAAAAATGTAATTTAATCTCCTTTAGAATTATATATTTTTATAATAAAAATAAAATATAATTTATTCATTAAAATATTTTTACATCATTTAAAAAAATTACATGTGTGAAGATATGTATTTCATTTTTTATAAAAAAAAATTTTTTATACCATTATGGATAATTCGTTAAAAAGAATGATTACTATAATCACATTAAATAATGAAAATAATTATAAATAAAATTATTCATAAATTATTTACAATAGTATAAGCAAATATATATACTGAATAAAATGTTCATTCACCATAGAATCAGTGTCATCCAGATAGTATCATGGTGATTAATTGTGAATTATGTCTGCAGTACCACAGCTTCATGGGTCAAACCCTTCTGTTGCCACGGAAACCACCGCCACCCTGCAGATGGTGGAGCAGTCACACACAACGCCTCCTGCCAAAGGACGAAACACTCAGGAAGAACAGCTCTGTAAGCAGTGCTACTCCACTCTCAACTTAACAGAGGGGCCAACAGTTTGCATCCAGATAGCAGGTTAAACATCGCTTCCCATCTTTATAGTCAATTATCTGCTCCCTGTTTCGCCAAGACTGCTATAAATGCCATATTCTTTAAAGCCTGGTCGTTTCTGACAGCACTTAATCAGTCAATATGTCAATATGTAAAACAGATCCCAGGGATATGGTTTCTCTTGTTCACGAGAAGCACAGGCTTCCCACATGTGAAGACAAATGCTGGTGTTTTATTGGAGAATACATTTTCCATCGCCATGGTAACACACTCCAGGGGCTGAACTGTAATGGGCTGATGCCACTGAGTGGATTCCTGGCCGGTCTGTCTTCATTATTGCACACAGAGCAGTAAAAGCAGAGTCATGCTCCCTGTATGTGCCATTCAGCTCAGAGCCATTATGGTTGGCATGTGCTTCCAGCGTGGAGGTTAGAAGGGCGGTGGCAAAATGCATTCTCATGTGCACTGAAGAATATTGACTGTAAAGAGCCTTCTGTGTCCAAAACGTAACGTAAACACAATACAGAAATTGTCATCATCCAGAACAACAGATGTTCACAGTCAATTACACATCACAGTAATCTGTAGAAACAGAAACAGATGCACTTTAAGAACATATAACACGTTAAAAGTGCACAATAGATCTATTTATTCACTAATTCTCAAAGTACATTCACAAACCACTTACATGTACACTGCCAAAAATATTGTTTATTGATTTATTTATTTTTTGCTAAAAAAAACTAAAATACATTGTTCTCCACAGAAAGCACGCAACATGGAGCAATGGGGGGAAGGGAAAATAATAATAACAATAATAAAATAGGGTTACACTTTATTTCGATAGTCCACTTTAGACATTCTACTAACTATAAGTAACTTTGTAATTACATGTCAACTACATGTCAACTAATTATCATTAATTTGCAACTACATGTCTACTAACTCTCAGAGTAGACTGTTAGGGTAGGTTTAGGGTCAGTAGAATAAGTTGACAAAGAAAGTGTTAGAAGATATTAAGCAGACAGTCTACTAATACTCTACTAACTACTAGTTGACATGTAGTTGCAAAGTTACTTACTGTTAATAGAATGTTTAAAGTGGACTATCGAAATAAAGTGTTACCTAAAATAGAATTAATTTATTAGTAAGTAGATCATACAAAAAACTTTAAGACACAAAAAAATACTTGTATTCAAGATACAGTATGTGAAAACAAAAATTATACTTTTCAGTTAAATGTATCAAGGATTTTTAGGTATCTTTATTGGAAAGCATATCAAAAAACATTTCTTAAAAGGATATTTCATCCAAAAGTGAAAATGCTGTTATCTTTCCACATTCCAAATATTCTTCCAAAACCTTCCAAGTTAATACTTTTTAATTTAAAGCTGCAAAATCAATATTTGAGCAAGTACATAACCAGCCAGTGTTCGAAGCTATCGCCTTACTTTAGCCTGATTCACAATGGTCAGTTTATAATAATGTTTTCTAATTTGAGTGGTACGTGTAGGTTTTCGCGGGAAATTCGAGCATGCACTGCGTCATTACGTCACGTCTGTAAACATAAATAAGTTGTCCCGTCTACTAGGCTATCGCATGTGAGGATCCTGCAGGTGGCGGATCGTTTATAGCCTTTTCTCACAGCAGCCAGAATAATTAAATGTATCATTTTGATGGAGGATTGTAATCCATAAAGGATTATGTGTTTATGAAACACATGTGAATGAAATTAAATTATATTCCAGTTTTAAATGTGCTTCTGATTACAAATAGAATGGTATTACAAAGATTTGTATTTTAAAGAAAACCAGGTCGAAGGGAGCATAATTTGCTTTATATGACATTCGAAGAGTATGACAATTAGATTAGACTGTGCAGAAATTGAAATCTACTCGCTAATACACACTATACTCATAGTCACCCATGCTGATGTTGTTAACATTAACCATTTGAGAATAAAGTATAACAATAATAATAATGTGAATGGTTTGATGTGATATGAGCTAACCGATCTTTAGATTTAATCACCATTGGTAGCGAGATTTATGGTAATGCATTTTTTGCTCAGTTGGTCAGAACAAACGTGGCAGACTTGTTACTTACTTGTTCAGATGACAATATCCGGTGAAAATTCTTATTTGGGTCATATTCCAAGATGTAGGCTAGAATCAGTGATTGCGAAGTACAGTAAATATCCACACCGGTGCGGTGACTGACTGCCACACATACTCGTCAGAACATTAGATTCATCCGTGCTGGAGCCGAGCCGGAGCACAACCCACGCAAGGAAGATAATTCCGCTCACAGCTGCAATTGCAGGTTTTCAAACAGAGATGGCGACAAAGAGGCAAAACTTACAAACTGCAGCTTTAACAACTACCTTACTAACTATTAACAAGCAGCAAATTAGGAGTTCATTGAGGCAAAAGTCATAGTTAATGGTTTGTTAATAGCGCGAATTGAACCTTAAAATAAAGTGTGACCTCTTTTTCCATAAAATGAAAGTCAATGGTGTTTCAAATGGGCTTCATACTGCTTTGGAGTTCTCGTTTTTGGATGAACTATCCCTTCACATTAGATTTTTAATTTGACTTTTTGTAGTGTAAACATATTTGCATGTAAAACCTGTGTCCAACTGTTTTGTGCATAACATCTTTTCCAAATTTAGAATAAACATTAGAACCACCTTAAACAGACACGCCTTGTGAAATCCATAACCTGAGAAGCTTCCTGTGGTAGATGTTACTTAACCAGTAAGCCGATGAAAATGTGCAATTTGAAAAGAAGAAAGGAAAGTGAGAATAGAACTGCAATATTCTGTAAAGAATTATATTGAACAGAGTATAGGGTGGTGCATGAGTATGATTATTTTAATGATTAAACAGTGTTTGAACATTTTTAGTATGCGTTAGTATGATTTGTCTTCTTTATAACAGTAGTTGTAGGATGAGTCAAATCTAGTATATATATTATACTAAAATCAAGTGTAGATATTAGATTTAAAGTGGTATTACATCATTAATTTGTCTGAACTGATCACATGTAGATGTACAGTTTGTACAGTGTATTTGTGAATGAGTGTATTTGTCAGTATAACGGCCTCTGTCTTCTTTAATGGGGCAGGCACAATTGTGCAGATTTATTTTTGGGTTGTTGGGCCGGGGGGCTGCTGACAGAGCAGACCCAGCCAAAAACAGCTTGAGGGGTTTTCAGAGAAGATCAGGGACACAGGGACATAGACACAGGCGAGAGAGGGATCGGCCCATGAAGATTCCAAAATGACCAGTAAAGGTGAGGGAGCAGGAAATCCACAAACTGGGGCTTTGAGAATATGACTATCTGAGCTGAGAGCACTCAGAGACATGGGTTAGGTGAACTTTTATTTCTGTCTGAACCACATAGCAAAGAGTTGGACGTTTAATCCTATGCTGTCATTTGAGTTCAGTCTATTGTTTTTACTATTTTTGATTACGTAAGCGAGAGATGTGTGTGGCATCTCATAAAAGGAGGCAATGTGTTTTTGTGCGGGAGATGGAGAATGAATGAAAACTGAACATTTTTATGTTCATGTAGAAGTTTAACTTCATAATACACCTCTACAGTAGATGTTATTCTCAGTTTGTATTTACTTTATTGGTTAATTGCAGCATTTGCTAGTCAAATATTAAATTATAGACCCTACATAACTGTGCTACTTTCATATATCTCTTATAACTTCATGTATCTCTGGTATCTTTCTTCAAGTTTATTTATTTGGTGAATAAGTCTATAGTCAGTCATTACCGCAAAATAAAACCCTTCAGGATGATTCTGATCTCTTTGTCTAGGTTGCAATTTAGTGATAATGACCGACTGACTAGATTATTCAACAAATAATCATGCTTTTGTTGCTAGCATTACTGAAAAACTACTGAAAATTATGTAACTCTCATTCAATCTGAAAGTACACAATTTGTTTCTTTTAGAAACTAGTTTAGAATGTCATTAGCTTTGCGTTTGTTTATATTGCCTGAGCTGAGCAAGCTTGTTAAAGCTAACTGTGTCAAATACGTCTGCTGAACCACCTGGCGTAACAATAGACAGATTTGTCTAAAGCTAGAGGCTATTACGTTTAGGTTATAAATAGTCCATCCACCTGATGCTAGGTCCACCATTCAGTCGCACAACAGACATGAATGGCATTAGCGCTGCGGTAATTCTGAATGGATTAGCCACAGTATTAGCCTGAACGCTATTGCTTTGCTTATACGAGTCCCTTTAGACAGGCTACAGAATGTTTTCCTAGTGAATACAAATAAAAAGAAGTGCTTGTGCTTGAGAAGTAAAGCTGTTCTCATTACTGAGAGTTTAAGTTATGTGCAGAAGCCCTGAGATTATTGATAGGCAATGGGATACAGGTTGAGTGCTGTCAGCAGGTGCTTTAAGGGACCACTTTAAATTCTTAGTTTCTCTTCCTTCTTACACGGCCTAAGAATAGCCGAGGTCAGCCCAAAAGACTCCTTGCAGTTTGTCTCTCTGTCATCCTATATCCACCGACTCATTTACTGTAGCCTCAATGTTTCTGTCCTTCGTTAGAAGTTTTGTTTTACATTTATCTACAGTGATGCTTTGAAAGCATCACTGTATTAGTATTCCTCATTGTAACATTCTGTTTCAGTGTTTGTTAAAAAAATAGAGTTCTAAACAAAGGTTTGGGAGGAGCTTGTTAATCTAATCTTGCCAATTGTTATGCAAGAATAAACAGCTGATTATCTCACTTGTCACTTCATCTGCTGCCTTATACAGTATCTGTTCATTAATTATTTTTTACATTATTATCAAATGCTTTCTATTTTTCTGTGACCTTTATACTTTAAAGGGTTAGTTCACCCAAAAATGAAAATTAGGCTGTGTTTTACTCACCCCCGACGCATCCTAGGTGTATCTGACTTTCTTCTTTCAGACGAATCCAGTCGGAGTTCTATTAAAAATTGCAACCACTCAGCGGGTGTTGCATTGCTTCAGTCCAAAAGAACTTAAAT